TTATTTATAGCTAAGACTTTATTACATTACATATAGTCATGCCTGTGTAGCATGTGTATGAGGTTTTTGTCCAAATGGTTCCTCTTGCTCCTGGTTCCTCTATTTCAGCTTTTAACATTGTAAACATCAGTCTATTAAATATATCTTATTTTGGGTAAACAGCAGGGGTGGGGGAGTAGCTAAGTAGCGTGCTACTTTTTGTAGCTAACTACAAATTTTTCTAGCTAATAGCTGTATCCCCTACAGTTTCATGAAACATAGCTAATAGCTGTAGCACCTACAAATTTTTGTGTAGCAAGAGTGATAATTTTCACTACAATTTTGCTACTGGCTTCAGGCAATCCATGCAAAATTTTGAGCCATAGAACGCGGCCGTTAACAGGGATAATAGTGATTGTGTAATCCTGACTGAGCTGCAGACAGTTCGAGCAAACGACCACGCTCTGGCCCATGTACTGCTCACCCCTTACTAGTAAGCTTAGCTCAGGGGACGGCAACCGAAATGTTAAGAAGAGCCATTTTGTCCTTTCAACAAAAATAAAACCACATTGGGAGCCACAACATTTTATATCCATTTTACCATCATGGCTGTAAATGTCTCAGTATGTGCTAATGTCCTAATATAGGCTAAAAATATGATATAAATGCAAATGCAGACTTGCTTTGCTCTGCTTTAAGCTGTAGGTCAGCTGTGGCCGCTTTTCTCTCATCAGGAAACTTTTCCGCGAAAGTAGAGTTTCTTGTAAAATGTGTCTCATCATTTGACTTTTTATGAGGCTCAAGTCAGTTCCTCATTCTCCAGCTTCTTGTTCGACTTGTCCTGTTCTGGGACATCAAGTCATGAAGTCAGCTTATCTTTTGCCAGCTCGTTTGAATTTTCCCGTTTCACCTTAACAGCTGGAGTGCTTAAAAATGCAAATAAGTCCATTCGTCTCCAAATTATTGAAGTTTGTCAAATCTTTTTCTTTGCCATTTCGTTAGCTACGAGCTAGGTGAGGTTGTCTGTGTTGCTGTGTGACCAGCAGTCTGTGCGTCAGTCTTCAGCATTAAAGGTTGGTGAATTAGCAGTTATACATTAACTTCAGCGTTTAAGACCATTTATTGTGAAAAGCAGAGCTTTATTTTACACCCAAGGAGGATTATGTTATTTTACCTAAAAATCTAGGGCTGCTGTGGAGCTGCAACAGGGCAGCAAAAGAGCCACGTGTTGCCGACCCCTGGCTCAGCTAAAGTGGAAAAAACATTTTTGTAGTAGACTATTACTAATAGTACTGCGCAGAGCCAGGGTCACTGATGAGAATTTTGAGGCTAAAGTGTTGCTGAAGTTTAACAAAGGACTTTGAATGTCATGTCTGTACATATCTTGCTTAAATGTTTAAATTGGAGCAGTTTTATTTCAACAGCTGACAATGCTTTGCACAAAATTGTTTGATTTGTATATGGTTATTTTTGTTGATTTTTGTTAGAAAAACATGGAATGGTTGACTTAGTCAAAATTTTTGTTGGATATCACGCCTTTGGTTGTGTAAGTTTGATTGTTGGTTACACTTAAACTTAGTTTTTTGTATATTTGCACCTTTTCAATTGTATGTTTCTTTCTGGCACATGATTAAATGCAGTGTCTTGTTCACACTACAGTTGGGCTTGTTTGGTGTGTCAGGTGGAGATTCACAAACATTGACAATCACGCTTTGAAAGTAGCTAAAAAGAAGCGACTACTTTATCTGGAAAAGTAGCTAAATTGTAGCTAGCTACAAATTTTGGGAAAGTAGATACAAAGTAGCTAGCTACTCAATTTTTCAGTAGCTATCCCAACCCTGGTAACCAGCCACAGTGTCTGGTGGGTGAAGCAAATCTACCAGTCAGATTTAAATATTTAAATGTTTTTAAATATGATTTGCAGGCAGATTTAACAATACTGTAAATATGTGATGGGCTGTATGAAGCCGTTTTACGTGTTGTGGATGTGGCCCCCAGGCTGGTAGTTTGAGACCCTTGGTCTGTACTGAGCATTCGGTTGTTAATCCAGGTAAATCAGCTTTCCCCGTAATCAGGGACATCACTACACGTTCATGGATAGAGGGGCTAAGCCTATACTAGGGGGGGTCTGGGGGCATAGTCCCCCAAAAGAAATTTTCTAATGTCCCCAAAATGTTAATAATGCACTTTTAGAGTAGCAACAGCCAGAAAATGTCATGTACATCAGCTATGTTAAGTATATGAAAAAATGGTTATTTGGCTAAATTGGCACACAGTAGAACTTTCTCTTTGTAGTTTGTATTAAGCACAGAGATAGTATAACAAACACTATATCCATGCACTTACAACAGGCACAGATCAAGCAAAGGTACTGAAGCCAAGCAATGCTATTTCCTCTCTTTTAGATAAACTGCAAGGTCCTAAATATATGATTCAAACACATAGATTATAGATCTTTTCAATCTCAGTTGGTGCAATGAGAATGATTTTGCTCTGTAGATATGTTTAATAAGCTATGTGACAGAATTTTATGGTGACAAATATATTTTTACAGTGAGGTTAAACTTGGTTTTAATTTTAACCAAAAGCTTATACAACCCCCACTTGCTTTCTTCTTGATCACTAATCTCCATCAGATCTGCTCTTTTAGTCCTGTCAGACTTCTTCAGTTTCTTTCTCTCCCTCTTTTCCTGTGTTTAGTAACACATTAATTTTATTAAAATCAGATTTACAAGAACCTAAGGAAATAATGATGAATCAGTTTAACTTTTTTTAACTGGTAAAAATCTCACATCTGACTGGTTGAGGAACTGAGCGATATAAAACTGTGTCATGATGTCATGATGCCTTTTTACAGAAAGCTAAAGTCAGTTTGAATTTTCCCGTTCCACCTTAAATGCTACAGCAGTTACATTCTGGCATCTTGCAACGGGAAAATACGAACAAGAATCTGGCGAATAATAAGCCAACTACAGTCTCATCCTTTTCACTGATGTTAACTTACTGTAAACAACAAGATATGGCAAACAATGGTGTCATTGTTTCCAAATACTGAAAATGAGTTCACACTCTCGCACTCACTATAAAGCAAGGTCGAACTAGTTGGCTTGTCAGCTAGTTAGCCACAGACCTCCAAACTTCATTTGGCCTTCAGATTAGCTCAAGAACAGTGTGTGAGAGCTTCATGGAATGGGTTTCCATGGCTGAGCAGCTGCATCCAAGCCTTACATCACCAAGCGCAACGCAAAGCATTGAATGTAGTGGTGTAAAGCATGCTGCCACCGGACTCTAGAGCAGTACTTGTCTTGATTGCATTGTGCCAAGTGTAAAGTTTGGTGGAGGGGGGATTATGGTGTGGGTTGTTTTTCAGGAGTTGGGCTCGGCCCCTTAGTTCCAGTGAAAGAAACTCTCAATGCTTCAGCATACCAAGTGTTTTTTTGGACAATTTCATGCTCCCAGCTTTTTGGGGATGGCCTCTTCCTGTTCCAACATGACTGCACACCAGTGTACAAAGCAAAGTCCATAAAGACATGGATGAATGAGTTTGGTGTGGAAGAACTTAACTGGCCTACACAGAGTCCTGACCTCAACCCAACAGAACACCTTTGGGATGAATTAGAGCGGAGACTGCGAACCAGGCCTTCTCGTCCAACATCAGTGTCTGACCTCACAAATTTGCTTCTGGAAGAATGGCCAAAAATTCCCATAAACACACTCCTAAACCTTGTGGAAAGCATTCCCAAAAGAGTTGAAGCTGTTATAGCTGCAAAGGGTGGGCCAACATCATATTTAACCCTATGGATTAAGAACGGGATGTCACTCAAGCTCATATGCGTGTGAAGGCAGATGAGCGAATACTTTTGGCAATGTAGCGTATGTTGGGATGAGGCAAATGAGACTGTGGTCATAATGCCCAAGAGCTGCACATGTGACTGTGTGATAAGTATTTTTAAAACTGGGTCCAAAATGTTCCATTCTCTTGTGGCACCAGTGAGATGCTGTCTGTACTTGAGCATTTCCTTTATTAGATTTATGCTGTTAAAATTTCCCAGAATGATGAGTATGTAATCTGGATTACATACTCATCATTCTGGGAAAAGAAAAAAACTTTCTGGGAGAGAAGAATGAAAAGTGATGAAAAGTGACTCTAGATGAAGAGCAAATGCTTTTAACAGTACTGTGATGTCTTTACACCAGCATTCATTGACGCAGAGGCAGATTCCTCCTCCCCTGGTTTTACTGGTGGGCTCTGTGTCACTGTCCGCTCTGTGCAGCTGGAAGTGGAGTAGGTGCAGTGTGCTGTGTGGGATCAGGTTAGAAAGCCAGGTTTCCGTAAAGAAAGGTTCTTGCTTAACCAGAAAAAAGAGAAAGATGACTTTGAAGAAAGAATAAGATATACACCTCAGAGATAGAAGTCTCTAAAAAGCACGTCAAATAAATGGTACAAAAAGCTTGTCCCTCCATACTTAGTAGCCTGGATAGGGTGAAGTGTGAGGCCTGCAACAACTTACATGTCAACAGGATAGATATGACTAAAATCTGCATCAGTCAATAATCTCAATAAAGATGTTAATGTGGAAAAAAGAAATCCACTGTTGAAACAGCACCAGAAAGGAGTTCATGATTTTTTTCACAATATAGTATGCACTTATATGTCTATATATATATATATATAGATACATGTCTTCAGCTTTAGAAAAACTCATTTTGGAATTTTTTACTAACCTTACTTTGCTTGGCATAAAAGAAAATAGGTTAGTAGTGCTAGTAATTCATTGAAGGTATCTTATCTGGCATGAATATTACTTTTTTTATATGGACTCTTCACCTTGCCCTAATTGGTATCATCGGTGTCAGGGGAATGCTACCACAGAACATTTTAATAAACATGCCAAACAAAACAACATACTCAGCAAAAACCACAAGATCAATCTATAAAACAAATCTTTATTTAATTAAACAAATCTTTTTTGGTCAAGTATGAAATATACAAACACAGTCTTTCATTGAAAAGACTTGACCCAACATCAATGCAGACTTCTTTTTATAACCTGTTTAAAGATTACAATGATAGTTTATGATGATGATGATGGCATGGTAATGCCAACCAAAGACCTATTTTTTTTAAATCACTAATTACTTAATTCAACACCCTGATTACACTGTCTTAACCTTGGTGATACCATCTCAGCAACATTTTATTAAGTAAATTGGTTCACATGTTAAGAACATTTACATGTAATAATGGGACATTTGACTATTTTGCACAGAGGCAAAATGGGTACAAAACTACTCAATGCTTGTTTAATTTGAAAGTCATTTTAAGTATGTAACATATTTCATCACTTCAGTTGTAACATGCCGGAGCTTAGAACTGATTTATATAAATGTTCAGTATGATATATAGGGGGAGAGAGAGAGAGAGAAAGAAAGAGAGAGAGAGAATGAAAATGGAAGTCCATGTAAAATACAGTTGCTGGCCAAAACAAGAAAACAGGCCCCTGTTCACATTCTTTGGCATTTCTGACCAATTATTCATTTATTTTTTTTTCCAAAAATTTGAATAGAGAAGGAACAACAATAAAATCCAACCTGTCCCCTATCCAAGGTAACGTTAAAACAAAATTTTAACAAATTTCCCCAATACCTGACTTCTCAAATACCCACATAAAAGCATAACTTTGTATACACATCACTTGCTTTTACACAAACAATAAACATGCATGTTTATTGCATACATGCTTATTCGTACAGCTGAGGTACCTTGTGTGAACAGGACAGTAGAAACCTTCTGTGACAGGAACTAAAGCTCAGTTCATCTTTGCCCCTGTTATCTTTTCACAGGTCAAATGAAATCATTTAACTCTGCCTCCAGAGCTGCAGCCATCTCATCTGCCTCTGAGCTGCTACCATCCTCATTAGAATCCTTACTAGACTCACTAGACAAGTCTCCATCTTTGTCATCATCATTATCCACTCCATCATCATCCTCCTTGGCCTCCTCTAGCTTCCTCTTGTGACCCCTACAGAACAGAAAGTTGTTTTTTAGTGCTTAACATTGATGTAAGACTGATGTTGGCTTCATGGTTAATGCCAAACTAAGCACAACACCTAATGTAACTAGCTGCACTGAGATTTCCTGGAGTGCACACTAAAGTAGTAAAGTGAGAAAAGATGACAATGAAATAGGGGAAAATAAGAAAATAAAAAGGAATAACATTTGAGTCAGAATCGGAAACCCTTTAGTGCAAAGCATATCAGGAATTTTATGTATGCAACATGTATAGACATATGCATCAAATGTACAAGCACATGTGTGAAGAGAATATACAGTGAATATGAAAAGTCTGCACACCCTTATTGGAAATTCAGATTTTGTTAATGTAAACAACGCAATCAAGACAAATCATATCAGACCTTTCAACAACAACGTAAGTGAAAAACTTTTTTTTCTGGAATAATCATTAAATGTTTTACAGAATGTTCATAAAAATACCATTCAACATATTTAGTTATACAGCACAACTCAGTTTTGTCAGTCAAAATAACCAATTTTACAGCATGATATTAATTGGAAATATTTATTTTGCACGAATGTGAATGGTCGGATACATTAGGCAATATTTTTGATAACTGAGCTACAGTTGAGCTTGTGCCAATTGGTGAAAAGGTGCAGTTCAGTGGCTTGCAAATGATTCACAATATTCAGAAAAGGGCCTTCAATTCTTGCCCTTTCTCCCTTTGCCCAATTTTAAGACAAATAGAAGTTACAGATAAAACAGTAGAGACTTTAGAGTTTGTGCAGCTTTTACTGGCGTGTAAAAGTATGTATTCTGGTAAAAAACTGAGTTGTGTGCTACAGCTTCTCATTATGCTGAATTTCCTTTTTTTCAACCAGTAGCTACAAAACAAAGCATCTGAGGACAGAGTATGGATAGATCAGCTGCAAAGGTGAATTTACTTATATGACATACATTGAAGTGAAGTGATAATCTCAGTATCTCAGTCAGAAAACTAAAGGTGGAGGAGTATGTTTTTACATTAAGCACAGACGGTGCAGGGACGTTAAACGTCTGGCCAGCTCATGCTGTCCTGAATTGGAAACTTTGGAAATTTTCAGTTGCAAGTCATTCTACTCATCTCGAAAACTTAAATCTATAATTTTGGTCAGGGTCTGTGTCCCCCCCACTAGCACAAGCCAATTTAGCAATTTAACAGGAACACTCAGACTCTCCTACCATCATTATGGGGGACTTCAACCACACTAACCCGAGTGCTGAATTACCAAAATAAAAATAATCTTGCCCCACCAGACAGACACTTGACCACTTACACAGCACCAGGCAATCTCCTGTGCCCAACTTGGAAACTCTGACCATTCCCTCATCCATCTCATCCCCTCATACAAGCAAAAGCTTAAAACAACAAAGCCCAAGGTGAATTCAGTGAGAGCGTGGTCTCCAAATACCACAGAAGATTTGATGCAATGTCTGGAATCCTTCAGAGCTTAGTATAACAACCTGGATGACTATGCAGATTCAGTCACATCTTACATAAGCATCTGTGAGGGGGCTTGCATTCCATCAACGTTTATCTACATGTACAACAATAAGTCTGGTGCTCAAATGAGCTCAGGAAACTGTGCACAGCCAAGGAAAAGGCTTATAGGTATGGCGACTGTGATGCACGCAAAAAGGCAAAGTATGCACTCAACAAAGCAGTCAAAACAGCCAAAAAGATACAGAGATGGAGCAGCAATTCTCCTCAAACAATTGTTCCTCCATCTGGAAAGGACTCCATACCTTAACAGACTACATTCCTAAAGCATCATACATAGCTGCAGACCCCTTGCTTCCAAAACTGTTCAATAACTTTTACTAATGATGGGAAATACAAAGAATATCTCCCCCTCCCCCAGACTAGCTCTCACCTGCACAGCACCACAAACCCCCTTCTCTACCACCTCTCATCGCCATCACTGAAGAGCAGTTCAGCCTGTGTTCAGCTGTGAACATTAAGGAAAGCTGCTGGCACTGTTCGCGTGTCATTCAACATTCAGGCACTGTTCTGAATGGATTTCTCTCATTATTACTGATCTCTTCAGACCCTGACCTTGTTGGGTTGTACCTGCTTTTAGAGCTCCTTTATCAGTCCAGTTACAAAAAAACAGATGATCTCCTGCCTGAATGACATGTCATGAAGTGTAGTCATGAAGTGTTTTGAGAGACTTTTACTTCAGCACTTAAGTCATGACTGATTGTCTCCAGCATGCTGCAGCCAGAGTCCTCACAAGAACCAGAAAGTTTGACCACATCAGCCCAGTTTTATCAAACCAACATTGGTTGCCAGTTAAATTCCGCATTGAGTACAAAATTGTTTAACTGACATATACAGCTCTAAACAGCCTTGCCCCTTAGTGAGGAAACTTCTCTCTTATTATGAACCATCACGCCTACTTAGATCACAAGGTGCTGACTTACTTGGAAAAAAAAGATGGCGGCGCCCTGAATGGAAGCAGCTACTCCGGCTCCCGTTAGCGATGTGCATTAAATGTACTCTCTATTCCGAGTTGAATACTAGATTAGTCAATAGTCACAGTACTCTGCTCGGACTTTGTGCATCCAACTCATGCAGCAACTTACCTAGCGGTTTACTGGCTTTGGAACCTGAAACACTCTGCGAACTAGGGATTCTACACCACCAAAACCCAGAGGCCTGCACAGCAGCGGTCATATCTACCGTTACCGACCGCTGCATGAAGCGCCGTAATGCGAGAGACCACGCATACGCCACACTCGAGCGGGTATTAGTGCTAGGCTAAAAGCTAACCCCCACAGGCCTTGCGCTTCCATCGATTCTGCTGTCAAATGTCTGCTCATTGAAAAAACAAAATGGACTATTTAAGACTGGATTTAACCACCAAACGCAAGGTGAGAGACTGTTGTACCTTTATCTTTACCGAGACATGCCTTAATTCCAGTACTTCCGATAGCGCCATTAGCGTGGATGGGCTAACAACATTCCGTGCAGACAGGAGCCATACTCTCAGTAGTAAATCTCAAGGAGGGGGTGTATGTGTTTACATCAACAACAACTGGTGCAAAAACGCCAAAAAATTGTCTCGAGCCACTCAGAGGATATAGAGTTCCTGACTGTAAAATGTTGACCATTTTATTTGTCAAGGGACATCACAGCCATTAGCATCAGAACCGTTTACATACCAACCAGCGGAGAAAACACACTAGATCGGGTTTACACTAACATCAAACAGGAATTCAGGGCAGCCCCCCACCCACCTTAGAAACACGGACCATTTCTCTGTTATGCTAATTCCAGCATACAGGCCACTGTTAACCACAAGCAAGCCATCTGTGAAGCAGATAAGGACATGGCCAGAGGGAGCAGTTTCAGCACTTCAGGACTGTTTTGAATGCACTGATTGGAATGTGTTCAGAGGGCTGCCACTGACAACCAACATGTCAATCTGGGGGAGTATGCTGAGTCTGTGATGGGATTCATGTCCAAGTGTGTGGAAGATCTCACCAGAGAGGTACATGCACTTCTAAGAACACATAATGCGGCCTTCAAGTCTGGGAACAAAGATGCTCTTAGATCTGCTAGAGCCAACTTGGACAAGAGCGTGAGAGCAGCAAAGCGTGCTTATGGTCAGAAAATCCAGAGTCACTTCACTGACTCAAAAGACCGCTGGCACTTGTGGCAAGGTATCCAGTCCATCACAGACTACAGTCAACCCACTCCAGTTTGCATACCGCCATAACCTCTCCACTGATGCCATATCAGCAGCACTTCACCAGAGTCTGGCCCTCATTGACTTCAGCTCTGCCTTCAATACAGTCATTCCCATGCACTTAGTAAGGAAACTCGGCCGATTAGGCATCGACACCCCACTGTGCAACTCGTTACTGGACTTCCTCACAGACAGACTCCAGACAGTACGAGGTGGAAGAAACACCTCTAAAAACCATCATCATGAACACTGGAGTTCCCCAGGGCTGTGTGCTCAGCCCTCTGTTGTTCACTCTGATGACTGTTGTGCCAAGTACAACTCAAATCACATTAAGTTCGCAGATGATACAATGGTGGTGGGCTTCATCAGCAACGATGACAACTCAGCCTACAGAGAGGAAGTCAACCAACTCGTCGTCTGGTGTGACAAGAACAACCTGTCACTGAATGTCGACAAGACAAATGAAAATTATCATGGACTTCAAGAGGAAGCACATGGTACATACTCCACTTACAATCCATGGTAACGCTGTGGAGTCAGTGAGAAGCACCAAGTTTCTGGGAGTGCACATCACAGACGACCTGACATGGACTACACACACCACTTCCCTTGTCAAGAGAGCACAGCAGCGCCTTTACTTCCTATGACAGATGAGTAGAGCAGACCTCCCCCCTTCCATCCTCACAACTTTCTACAGAGGCACTACAGAGAACATCCTGACCAGCAGCCTCCCAGTGTGGTATGGCAGCCCTTTCAGAGAGTGGTGAGGATGGCAGAGAGAATCATCGGAACCCCACTTCCATCCATACAAGATCTCTACCTGTCACGCTGCTTCAGCAGAGCCAGCAAGATAGTCAGAGACCCCAACCTGCCCATGGACTGTTCAGCCTCCTGCCCTCTGGCAAACGCTACCACAGCATGTGGTGCAAGACCGCCAGACTTAGCTGGAGCTTCTTCCCACAGGCCATCAGTCTACTCAACTCCCTCTAACAACACACAACACACTGGCCTCTCAGGACTGTTTAACTCCTGAACATACACATAGACTGTCTAACACTTCTATTAGAAAATGCAGCTATTTTTTTATGTGCAATATTTACAGTGTTGTCATCACTTGACACTGGTGAATTGTGATAAAGTGCTCAAGTTTACATTTCCTGTTACACTGTGCAATAATACTATCATTGAGGACAATGTGCAATATTTTTCCTATACAACATGAAATATTTCTTTTACATCAGGGGGTAGAGCCTTTTCATTTAAAGCCCCCCAGCC